CTGCTGCTGCTGCTGCTGTTGGTGGTGGTGGTGCTGGTGGTGGTGGTGGTGGTGGTGGAGGTGGTGTGGTGGTGTTTGTCAGTGCAGCTGCCGTTGCTGCGGGGTGCCCGCGCAGCAGCAGCAGCAGCAGCTGCTGCTGCTGCTGCTGCTGCTGATGGTTGTTGCTACTGGTCTTTCTATAAGAAACGCTGCTGCTACTACTACTGCTGCTGCTGCTGCTGCTGCTGCTGTTGCTGCTGTCTTTGCTGCTGTTGCTGGTGCTGTTGCATGCATAGTGTGGGGTGTATGTACAGCTGCGTGGTGTGTCTGCAGCGGCCAGCAATGGTGCTGCTGCTGCTGTGTTATAGATTTGGTTGTTTAGAGTCTGCTGCTCTGCTGCACCTATCAGCAGCAGCACTAACAGCAGCAGCAGAAGCAGCAAGCAGCAGCGGTATATTCTCTGCTGCTGCTGGGTTTCCAGCAGCAGCAATAGCAGCAACAGCAGCAGCAGCAGCAGCAGGAAGAGGAGGAGCAGCAGCAGGGGGAAAGGGGGGGGGGGCCCCCTGGGTAGATGAAGGGTGGGCACTGCAGCAGCAGCAGCGGGGGGCCCCCTGCGAGGCCCCCCTCATAGATAGCTGGGTTTCTGGTGTTGCTGCTGCAGTATACAGCAGTGTGGGGTGCGGAGACAGCTCAGCAGCAGACATAGCTTACTGTCTCCTTTTTGCTGCTCCTCTCTCGCACCCCACACACTACACCCCACACCACCAACTCCAACCCCACACACGATCCCACACACGATCCCAGCTCCACACACTCATACTCACCGCCATACATACGGGCCTCATAGGCACAGACCCCATACCCAAGCTCTTCTCTCTAAGTGTAAGAACATACACCACCGCGGGGGGCCCCACAGGGGCCCCCCGCGGTGGTGTATACGCAGCTGCATGTTTCTATGTGTGTTGGGGTGTATAGGCAGCTGCATATTTCTGTGTGTGTTGGGGTGTATACGCAGCTGCTGCCTCTGTTTTTTTTCTTTCTCTCATCTGTATCTTTCTCTGTGTGTGTTGGGGTGTATAGGCAGCTGTATATGTCTATGTGTGTTGGGGTGTATGCGCAGCTGCTGCCTCTGTTTTTTTCTGTGCCTTTGCTGCCTGTGGTGGTGCGGGAGAGCTACGAGGCCCTGAGGGCCCCCGGGGTGCTGCTGGGGGAGGGAGAGAGCGAGCTTTCTCCTGGTGTCTTGGAGTTGCTGCTGCTGCAGCAGGTGGAGACACCGCAGCAGCTGCACAGGCAGCAGCAGCAGCGCTTCTCAGCAGACTTCAGCAGCAGCAGCAGCAGCAGCAGCAGCAGCAGCAGCAGCAGCAGCAGCAGCAGCAGGGAGAGGTTACTCAAGTATAAACTCGAAGACCAGCTGTGGGGATCATATTTTGTGCTGCTGAACTCTGACAGCAGCAGCAGCAGCAGCAGCAGCAGCAGCAGCAGCAGGAGAGGCGGTGTATCTCCGTGGGTGACGTTTGACTGCGAGTGTGCAGCAGACAACAGCAGCAGCAGCAGCAGCAGCAGCAGCAGCACGAGTGAGGAGCTGCAGCAGCGTCGGCAGCTGCTGGAGGAGCGTCCGTTTTTATTTTTATTATATTGCGCTATCCGAGCCGAAGCAAAAAGAAGAGGAGACAGCAGCACTGCTGTTGCTGCTTCGTGGCTCCTTACTGATGATCGTACTGCAGCAGGTACACACATATGTTCAGCTGCAACGCGGAATTCTCGTGCTGCTGCTGCTGCTGCTGCTGCTTGTGCTGCTGCTGCTAGTGCTGTTGGTGCTGCTGCTGCTGCTGCTAGTGCTGTTGCTGCTGCTGCTGCTGCTGCTGCTGCTAGTGCTGTTGCTGCTGCTGCTAGTGCTGCTGCTGCTTGTGCTGCTGCTGTTGCTTGTGCTGCTGCTGTTGCTTGTGCTGCTGCTGCTAGTGCTGTTGGTGCTGCTGTTAGTGCTGCTGCTGCTTGTGCTGCTGCTGCTTGTGCTGCTGCTGCTTGTGCTGCTAATGCTGCTGCTTGTCTCGCTGCTGCTACTGCAAGTACTGCTGCTGCTGCTGCTGCTGCTGCTGGTGCTGCTGCTGCTGCTGCTGTTGTTGGTGGTGCTGTTAGTTTACCTACTGCTGCTACAATGCAGCAACTATCGTAGCTGCTATTTCATCTCCTCCTCCTGCTGCTGCTGCTGTTGCTGCTGCTGCTGCTGCTGCTGCTGCTGCTGCTGCTGCTGCTGCTGCTGCTGC